CCTAGGGATTATTGTTCCCATTTGAAGCAGTACAGCATTGAGTGTGGCGGTATGTTGGATCAGTTGTCAGCTGCTCTTGAGTCACTTCATGATATGAATAGGAAGCATCAGCTTGTCTCAGAGAAGACACAAGCTCTTCATGAAGCATGTGAGCAACTTGTGCAAGAACAAGTAAGTGTCTGCCATGTTTTTGAGCAACTTTAAAAATTCATTAAAAATCTAAACGTGATCAGAATCAGCTCAAACTTGAAACACAACATAAGAACATGTATATGTATCAGGAAAAATTATAAAAATAAAGAATTGTCTCCTTTTCATTTTTGGTGAAATTTGGCTAAAGTCCCTGTACTATAGTACAGGGACTTTGGCCTGATTTTGGAGCAACTTTAAAAATTTGTAAAAAATTCAAATGTGATCGGAATCTGCTCAAAATTGAAATACGACATAAGAACACGTATATGTATCAGGAAGAATTATAAAAATGGAAAAAGCTCTTTTTGCAGTTTTTCATGAAATACCCTATACCCCATGTACATTCATAAATAGTTTTTATTACTTATTATTCTCCATAGAATCAGTTATCAGGCTTCGCTGAAACTATCAGTAGTAAACTCTCCTATTTCACGGAGCTGGAGCAGCTGGGGCAGAAGTTAAATGCTCCCTCATTTTCTCCATCGTCTGATCACTTCCCAGTCCTATTGAACCGTCTTGATGAGTGTATTGCCTTCATTGAATCACATGTGAGACTATTCAGAACATTTTAATGATTTTCTCTATAATCTATTAAAATTAAGCTATGAATGACCCATATTAAAATGTGTATTTCTGTGAATTTATTTTTAAGTTTTGTGTAACATTGGGCCCACTAATACAATCATTATTTCATTAGTTGAACTGCACCTCTTTCATTAAAGTATATCTCATTCCTCCTCCTCCTCCTCTTTTTGTAGCCTCATTTTAAAGAGTCTTCAGTTTATTTGGCTCGTTATAAGCAGCAGCTGTCTAAAGCTCTCTCCTCCATCAAGCAACAGTTCATTCACACTATCAGATCAACCACACAATCAGTTCTGCAGGTACATCTACATCTTTTTTTTTTTTTTTTTTTTTTTTTATTTTTATTTTATTTTTATTTTATTTTTATAGCAGCAGCATCAGTCAGTGGGTATGCCTGAGACCAGTTATTCTCAGTTTTATGGTAAATTCAGAGGATCAGCTCCTAAACTTAAAGTATGTCCTATACTGTATGATCGGCTGTCACTGTCACTGCATATGGTGACACTCTATTCTTGATAGAGTTTGATGAGTGAAGTTGAACTAAGAGCAGAGAAATCCTCAGAGTTAGTACATTAATAACAGCAGCAGCAGCAGCTGTGTCACCCTCTCTCCTTCCCTCCCTCCCTCTCTTTATTTCAGCTATACCACACTGCTACAGGATTGCTTGCAGTGTTACATATCTCAAAGACGTCACTTGCTCTCTCCATCAGTGACAGCTACTCTTCTTGAACTAACTAAACACAAGCAGACAGAATACAGCTCACTGGTACCTTGTCACTCCATTAGAGACTATTCTCCTCCTCCTCCTCCTTCATTTTAGATCAGAGAAGCTTGTAATTTAGTGT